TTTTTTTTTTTTTTTTTTGAGATGGAGTCTTGCTCTGTTGCCCAGGCTGGAGTGCACTGGTGCGATCTCGGCTCACTGCAACCTCCGCCTCCCAGGTTCAAGCGATTCTTGTACCTCAGCCTCCCAAGTGGCTGGGATTACAGGCACCCACCACCACGCCTGGCTAATTTTTGTATTTTTAGTAGAGACAGGGTTTCACCATCTTGGCCAGGCTGGTCTTGCACTTCTGACTTTGTGATCCACCCGCCTCAGCCTTCCAAAGTGCTGGGATTAAAGGCGTGAGCCACCGCAACTAGCCAACACGCTTCTTAATCAGCATGCAGGCTGTGACATGCAGAAACCAGGGACACAGGCTCTGAAGTTTGTACTCCGGAGCTGGAGCAGTCGGGGTTAAATGGGAGCGGCTGGGGGGGGCGTGTTTCCACCTGGCCTTTCTGATATCTCAGCACCCAGTCTGGACGCGGGTAGAAGGCCAGTGCCTGGAGTCGGTGGAGCAGTTGCCCATGCCTGGTCTCTGTGAGATGGGTTGGTCAGGGGCTGGGCAGAGCCTGTGCTGGGGGTAGCAGGTGCCCTCTAAAGGGGCCAGTGACAGCCACTCTCCTAGCAGTCAGAAACCCATCCTTAGGGGTTGGGCACAGTGGCTCACACCTGTAATCCCAGCACTTCGGGAGGCTGAGGTGGGCAGATCACCTGAGGTAGGAGTTTGAGACCAGCCTGGCCAATGTGGTGAAACCCCGTCTCTACTAAAAATACAAAAGTTAGCCGAGTGTGGTGGTGCATGCCTGTAATCCCAGCTACTCAGGAGGCTGAGCCAGAAGAATTGCTGGAACCTGGGAGGTGGAGCTTGCAGTGACCAGAGATCCCACCATTGCATTCCAGCCCAGGAGACAGAGTGAGAGTCTGTCTCAAAAAAAAAAAAAAAAAAAAATTCTGGTTTGAGTTTTGACAAACGTATATGCGAGGTCAAAGGGAAGACAGATGCTGTGGGGAGGAAGCCTAACTGTGAGTGCGAGCCCCCTGCTTTCCTGAACAGTCAGTGCAGGAGGTCCCAGGAGCTCAGGTGAGCACCTGAATGGTAGGGCGGAGCCTGAGGGTCTTGGTGGAGACAGGCCAGAGGGTTGCAGGAACCCAGTCTCGCCCAGTGCATGGGAGAACAGGAGGGAACACTGAGGCAGGGAGGCAGAGGAGTTGACAGGACCTGGACTGGACTGTGCGGTGCAGCTCCCCACAACTTATGACCCCACCGGCCTTGAAGTGAGTGATGCACCCTCACTCCTGTTTAGCGTCCAATTTCATCCTGGCCCTGAGTGCAACGGCTTTGCCCTTGTGAGGCCCCCTGGGCTGAGGGGTGAGCCCTGTCCCTTCCTGGCCACCGTCTGCAGGGACCGTCTGCCAACAGGAGCCGCCCGGTTTGCAGCTGTGATTTAGGAGCCACTGCCACTCCTCCAGCCCCCTGGGTGCTGCCAGGGGGTCCCCCTACTCTGGGAGCTGGTGTGTCCTGACTAGAGGCTGCCACGTGCAGAGTGCTGTCAAGCAGAAGGGGTGTCCACTGCCCAGCCCTGAGGCCCAAGGCCTTGGCCAGCCTTGCTGCCAGCGCTGCAGGGAAAAAGCCTCCTTTGTGTGTGGGAAGCTTAATAAACTCCGCTCAGATTGTGTCTCGCAGCGAGTGTCTGGAACCTTCCAGACAAGCCTCAGGCGTCCGGTCCTCCAGGTGGTGTAGAAAGCGTGGGCAATCGCCAAGGGGGGTGGGTTGGGGCAGATGGAGCCAGCATGAGTCCTGTCCCTTCCGTTCCTTCCCAGAAAGGCAGCCCTGGACTCCGTGCCTTGTCCCCCTCTCACCGGTAAAAAGTGTAATCTTGTTAGAAACAGGAAAGTTCCAAAAAGCATCAATAAGTTAAAAAGAGGACTGGGCACAGTGGCTCATGCCTGTATTCCCAGCACTTTGGGAGGCTGAGGAGGGCAGATCACAAGGTCAGCAGTTTGAGACCAGCCTGGCCAACATGGTGAAACCCGATCTCTACTAAAAATACAAAAATTAGCTGGATGCGGTGGCTCACGCCTGTAATCCCAGCACTTTAGGAGGCCGAGGTGAGCGGATCATCTGAGGTCAGGAGGTCAAGACCAGCCTGGCCAACATGGCGAAACTCCATCTCTACTAAAATACAAAAATTAGCCAGGAGTGGTGGCGGGCGCCTGTAGTCCCAGCTACTTGGGAAGCTGAGGCAGAAGACTCGCTTGAACCCGGGAGCCGGAGATTGCTGTAAGCTGAGATCACGCCACTGCACTCCAGCCTGGGCAACAGAGTGAGACTCTGTCTCAAAAAAAAAAAAAAAAAAAAAA